CAGCAGCCATTTTCTCTCTGAAGACCTCGCAGCCCTGACAGTGCTGGACGTGGCACTGGACCACCCAGCTTCGCGTCGTGTGGCGACACCCACCCGCCCTGCCCGTACGTTGTTCATTCCAGTACTCGTCGGGGCTACTGATGTGGCCGCTTTCAACCGCCGCGTCAGCGCTTTGCTCAGCTCACTGATCGTGTTCGTGCGGAGCGCGACCCCGACCCTGCTCTTAATTGGCTGTCTCTTGTTCAGACGCACGGTCTTGCTCTGCCGGACATGTCTGTGTCCGAGTTGCTTTATCTGTTAGGATCTGTGCATGCTATGTATGCTGATGTTGACTATAGTGCTCCTGGATCTGTTTGCTCGCGTGTTCATAGCTTAGGTGCAATAATTGACACTTTGCCTGTTGCTAGCATAGGTGCTTGCGTATAATCTAGTCCAGGTGCAACTTCGGCGGGCACGTCGCTCTTGTTCACGTTGGACTATGGTATGTTGCAGTGTTTCTTCCGCGACCACACGGCTCTGACACCGCTTCCTGCATCGGTTTCTGTTGCACTGGTTGATCCCGCCTCGGGACCGGTCGTTGCTTTTACTCTACTACTCTCCCATGCTCGGCCGCCCCTTCGGGTGTCCTGACTGACCTCCACATCCCCTCGTTCTCCAGAAACTTGGTGGGTGTGCGCCCCCTTCTGGGCTGTCACATCGGTGTTTGGTTTCCTCCGTCTAGGGAGTCTGCGACTTATGTGGACGGTGACACGTACGCCCCTCATGCCACTTTTCACCAGGAGCCTGGCTCCAGCCTTTACACACTCCACACCGAGAGCTCCCAAGTACCTACGTCCCGCCCGGTAGCTGCGTCTAGTCAGGTTGCTGCATTTGGTCAGGTTGCTTCGTCGTGCTCTTGTCGGTCGCTTGCCCATCCCACCATCCTGTGGCACCACCGTCTTGGTCACCCCTCTCTTCCGCGTCTCCGCAGTATGTCCAGTCAGAGGCTTGTCTTAGCGCTTCCACCACAGGCTACTGCAGACTCTGGGGGTGTTGGTGTTAGAGGTGAGGGCCCCGGAGGTGCTAGCTCTGGGGGTGTTGGAGTTGAAGTTGTGGATTCTAGAGGTGCTGGAGTTGGAGGTGCTGTCCCTGGAGGTGCCGCGTCTGGAGGTGAGGGTGCGCCTCCTACTGGAGTTGGAGACACTGGAGCTGGTTACGTTGAGGCTGGGGGTGGTGCAACCGGCACAGGCGCTGTGGAGGGCAGGGTCGGAGCTACTACTTTTGCCGACACCACTCCGCCTCCCAACCACTAACCAACCTGGAACCAGGCTCTACTTCGTCTATAGTGCGAGCAGCTTCAGAGGTTGGAGCGCGATCTGGAGCAGCAGCAGCGAGAGTTGCAACAGCAGCAATAGCAGCAGCAGCAGCAGAAGCAGCAGCAGGAGCAGCCGTCGCAGCCGCCTCTGCTCCTGAGGGGCTCGGTGCCCCCTGTCACTGGCCTTTGAGCCCTAGGTCTTCCTTCTTCTCATGCTTCCTCCCCTTCTCCTGTGTATCGCCCTACGTTTCCTCCCCCTTATTCTGCCCTGGCTTTTTTCCCTCGTCCTCAGCTTGAGTGAACTCCCACTCCCTGTCCTCACAGTTGGGCTATTCGCTGCCCTCCTCGTGCTCGTCCCTCGTCCCTTGTGACTGACCTTCATACTGTTCTGTTCCATTCTAGCCCGCCTCGTCTTTCTCAGTCTGTGCTTCCTTCCCCTCCTGAGTCGTTCCTCACCACTGTGTTCTCCACTCCTATCTCTTATTACAACCGCACGTACCGTCCTGTTCTCTCTCGTGTTCTTGCCTCCCTTGTTACAGACCCTCGTGTGTCCCTGTCGCCTGTCTCGGCTCTCACTGCCGCTGTCACCGACTTCGTCGCTACTCGCCGCATTGACTACGCCACCCTTGTGGTGGCTGCTCCTCCTACCAGTCCTCTGGCCGTCGAGGGTGAGTCTGCCCTTGGCTGTGACGTCCTAGAGGATAGGCAGTTTGAGCTAGAGTTCCTGGCAGCCGCTTCACCTCATCTCTACGCCATGTTGCTTGCCCCTAAGGAAGACATGCCGCCCTTGACATACCGACTCCTCGCACTTACGCTGAGGTAGTGTTATTTACTTGGGCCTCTCTGTAGTGAGCTGCCATGGACGTGGAGATGGCCTCCTAAAGATCCACAGGCACCTAAGTCGACGAGGTTCCCCCTCCGAAGGCGAACGTAGTCGATGGCATGCTGATCTTCAAGGTAATGTGGCTACCGGGATCTCCTCCTGTCTTCAAGGCGCGCTACGTGGCTAGAGGTTTCAGTCAGCGCGAGGGAGTTGACTTCTTTCGGATTTTTGCGCCTTTCCCAAAGATGACCACACTTCGGGTCTTACTCCACATTGCAGTGCAGAAAGACTACGAGTTGTACTCCCTCGAATTTTCGACTGCCTTCCTTCAGGTTCGCCTACATGAGGAGATCTGGCTGCTCCGCCCACCTGGCTTCACTGGTACCTTCCCCCTAGGGACCTAGTGGAGCTTGAGACGACCAGTCAACTGTCTCCGCCAGACACCCCGTGAGTGGCACGACACTGTAAAACCTAAACCCTAAAACCTACACGCTTGAGCCGTCTGCTGTCGACCCGTCACTGTTCGTTCGTTGTGGGCCCACACAATTTTTTGTTCTTGTGTGCGTCGACGACCTAGTCTTCGCCACGGCAGACAGAGTTGCACAGACAGAGGTGAAGTTCGAAATGCAGAAGAGGTACACGAGCAGTGACCTTGGTGAACTGCGCCACCACCTTGGCTTGCAGATCACACAGAGCCGCTCGCACCATCACTATGATTCGGTCACACATGGTGCGGCAGATCCTTCAACGGTTCGGGCTTCAATTCTCCACTGCGCAGCCTACTCTTCTTTTCCCGGCGAGCCCTTTAAGTTCAGTGGTCCTTACACAGAGCTGGTGGGGTGCCTCATGTACCTGATGATCTGTACTCGCCCGTACCTCGCCTTTCTTCTCAGCATTCTTGCTCGCTTCGTTGCGACTGGGAGACACCGCCTTGTTCACTGGAGGCCTGCTGTGGGGTGGCGAAGTACCTGGCAAGTAGATCATGCATGGGGCTTGTGCTTGGAGGGAGACAGTCAGTTGTGCTTACCTATCGATGTGACTCCTCTTACGCTGACGACGTCGAGACTCAGAAGTACCCAGGGGTATCGTTTCAGCCTGAGCTCTTGCGCTGTGTCGTGGTAGTAGACTCGGTCCTCGTATGTCGCGCAGTCTAGCGCTAAGGCCGAAATCTACATAAAAGCTATGGCTGCACAGAAGCTATACTCGTTGACTTTCTTGCTCACTGACCTTGGTGAGCGGCCGAGCTCTGCACCGACCTTGTTTACTGACAATAAGGCCATGATTCTCCTGTGTCAATAGCTCGACTGGTGAGTAGAGTGAAGCACATTGACGTCAGGTACTTTCTTCCCCTTGAGTTGCAGAGAAGTGGACCGGCGGGTGTGGACTTCGTGGCCTCTAAGGCAAACACTGCCGACATTTTCACCAACGCCCTTCCGCCTGGTGACCATCATACGTTCTGTGTGAAGTTCGGCCTCGTTGAGGCAGGTTCTCGTTTGCTGTAGCCTTACACTCTTATCTCTTTCTCTTGATGTGTTTGTACTATTTACATACATGAATGATTGAACTAGCCTTGGGGCCGCCTGCTTGCGCTCGTATTGTGTGGTGACGTTTTGATCGACCCTGAGCTTTGCATTTCTTTGACTCGTAATGTGATCTTAGGTACTTGTTGCTACTCGGCACCCCTCATTTAGTATATGGGGGTGTGTCAAAGCTGATACACATTAGTGAGCTCATTAGTGAGGTATTTAGTGAGGTCTAGCGCTAATTTAATTTCATTTTTTATATTAAAAGCCTTTGCTTTGGTGGATGCTATGTCATCATCCTTGCCTACTTTAAGACCATATGATAAAAATAATAAATCATAATGAAAAGATACGATCGCAAAGTGACACATACTAAAGTAATTACTATATAAGATATTTATACGATAACACAATATCAATTAGTATCAAACTACTGAATTGTATAAGCTACTTAAATTTAATCAAACAGCCCCCTTTCTGAATCATGTTTTCCCGAAGTCCCCGCCTAGGTATGATTTTCTCTGTCTCTCTATTGCTTGCTGATAGTGTATAATTTTGATAGTGGAGTTTCTATCGCAAATATCTGCGGAGCCGACGGTTCGCCGCGTATTGCTAAACGGACCGTCATGATGACGGTGTGAAAAGCGCCACGCCACCATAGTCACCACCTCGCCGACCCAGACCGCGGGCAGAAACGAACGGAATGGTACATTGCAAAACCACTCCCTGTTCGCACAATGTTTGAAGTTGATCCTTCAGAACGCCCATGGGTGGCCAAAAATGGTTGCTGTAGAGTGGTGGGATGGGGTGGGGAGAGGTTCCTGTCATAGGTGAACTTGGCGGTCCGCGGAGTAGCAGGAACTGCTGCAAGCGTGTGAAGGGGTTAGGTGGTGCCCCAATAATGTGGAAGAAAGTTGCAGCCACAGTAATAGATTTTTCTCCTCCGAGCAAGGCACGGACCGCCAGTCTGATTTCTGGGATGGTCTTGTCCTGCCGCGTGTATTCAAAATATCAGCCATCCACAACTGTTACAGTAAAGTTCATTGATCGTGTGGTTGGGGTGGAACGAGTCTGATGCGATACACCAACGCGGTTTCCCTTCCCACCACCGCCACCACACATCCGAACGGAAACAAACCAAGAAAATGCTTTTTTTTCCGATCCTTTTCTACCCAACCGATATTTCAAATCTCTTCTTTCCATTCTCCGACTTCCTCCCAATCTCCATTGACTTTCATCCAATGCTCACACTCCTTCCTTGTTCCAACACCTCCGTCGTCTCATGCGTCGACCTTGGCGCCTTTCGTCGCGAGGCGCGTCGCTGTGGGGCGTGTGGAGGGCGCTGCTAGGGGCGGCGTGGATGGCGGGATGGTTGGGCCTGTGCGCGTGGGTGGTGTGGTTCGCGCACACGCAGGCCGCCAATCCGCGGGAGGAGGCGATGCGCGGGTGGTGTCGCTTGCGCGTGCGCTACTTTTACCAGCGCCTTCTCTCGTCCGTCTCGCGCGTGCAGGTGCGATGCCCCACAGCAACGCACCGCGGCATTGCTGCCAGCAGTAGTAGCAGTGATTTCGAGAGACACTGTGCGGGCGGCTCGTTTGCCCCGTCGACCGCGGGCAGCTGACGCTGGCGGAAAATGTCAGCCGCGCCTGTCCCTCCAGGTGTACCGCTTGAGACAATGCCGCTCGCGACCCTTGTTGTATATCCTACGAATGCCGCGTGACACTGAAGATGCCCTTTGCGACCCTCGAAACGCCCTTTGGGAACCTCGAAACGCCCTTTGGGAGCCTCGAAACGCCTCTTGAAACCCTCGAAACGCCCTTTGAGACCCTCGAAACTCCCTTTTGAGACCCTCGAAACGCCCTTTGGGAGCCTCGAAACGCCCTTGAAAGCTTCGAAACGCCTTTTGAGAGCCTCGAGTCTCGTATCGCCCTTTGCGACCCTCGAGCAATGCCCTCCGCTCCAGCCGCCCCCTTCTGCGCCGATCCCTCGTTCTCCACCTAGGGAGGGGCGTAGCGGGGAGGGGCGTAGCGGGGAGGGGCGTAGCGGGGAGGGGCGTAGCGGGGAGGGGCGTAGCGGAGAGGGGCGTAGCGGGGAGGAGCGTAGCGGGGAGGGGCGTAGCGGGGAGGGGCGTAGCGGGGAGGGGCGTAGCGGGGAGGGGCGTAGCGGGGAGGGGCGTAGCGGCGAGGGGCGTAGCGGAGAGGGGCGTAGCGGGGAGGAGCGTAGCGGGGAGGAGCGTAGCGGGGAGGGGCGTAGCGGGGAGGGGCGTAGCGGAGAGGGACGGAGAGAAAAGGGGCGGAGAGGAGAGGGGCGGAGAGGAGAGGGGCGGAGAGGAGAGGAGCGCATAGGATGGGAGCGCAGAGGAGAGGAGCGTAGAGGAGAGGGATGGATCAGCGCGATTGCACTGGTCAGCATCCTCCAACCCATGCCATCAGAATCCAACCCACGCCATCAGGATTCAACCCACGCCATCAGGATTCAACCCACGCCATCAGGATCCAACCCACGCCTCGCCCTCTAGCCCAACCCACACCTTCCCTTGCCTCCTTGCCATGCCCTTCCTTCCGTGCGCTCCCCCCCTCCCCCTCCCCCCCTCACCCCCCCCCCATCATTGCACTTCACCCTGTGTGCGTGCGAGAGCAGGAGATGTTGGCGCTGGTGCGCGTGTCCAACGGGATCTCATGCTTTCCCTCCCCCCACCCCCCTCCCCTCTCTCCCCCTATTGTGCTTCGTCCTGCTGGGCTGCCCTGGGCGCAGGAGGTGTCGGCGCTGATGCGCGTGTTCAACGGGGTACGGCGGGCGCAGCAGTGTTTAGAAATCTCAATTTGACTCCCCTTCCCGTCGACCTGTTTCAAATGACCCTGCTGGGCTGCCCTGGGCGCAGGAGATGTCGGCGCTGGTGAAGGTCTTTAATGGGTACGGCGAGCGCAGCAGCACGAACCTCACCTACTGGGGGCTGGCAGGGTGTGCGGACAACCGCAGCATGGAGCTGTACAACGCGGCCACCCTGGGCATGTCGGACCTCACCACAGGCACTCTCATCATGCTCGTGGAGGATGCTGACAGGTGCGTGTGAGAGGGGAGAGTGATTTGGGTTTACGGTCTAGACTGGGTGGGTAGGAGTGGGCGGTGCTCGTAGAGGATGCTGACAGGTGTGCGTGAGAGGGGAGAGAGTGGGGGGCGGGGGGGGGAAGGGGAGTGAGGGAGCGAGGAAAGACGGTCGGTGGGGGGATGTGGGCGGGGGACGCGCCTAGGCATGTCTGACCTCACCAGGGGCACTCTCATCATGCTCGTGGAGGATGCTGACAGGTGTGTGTGGGAAGGGGACGGAGAGAGGTAACTTTTGAGTCGACTCAGAGCCACCCTGGGCATGTCTGACCTCACCACGGGCACTCTCATCATGCTCGTGGAGGATGCTGACAGTTATGTGTGCAAGGGGGATGGAGGGAGGGGAGAGCAAGGGGGAGATGCTGGCAGGTGCGCGTGTGGGGGTTGAGATTGTGGGGGGAGGAAGCGAGAATGCGAGGGCAGACGGTGGGTGGTGAGGGGTGGGCTGTGGACGTGCCTCGGCATGCCAGACCTCATCACGAGCCGTACAGCTCGTGGAGGATGCTGACAGGTGTTAATGAGAAAGAAGGGGAAGGGCCCGAGGTGGAGGGGGGGATG